AAAAAAAAAAAAAAAAAAAAAAAAGCACAAGAATTAATACTGACCCAATTCTAATTGTTTCATAAAATTTAATGTTTCTAGTGAAATTCTGTCACACCATCAAACTCTGAAGCAAAAGAAGTATGAACCAAGCCTCAAATAAAGACTAAGTAAGCGTATGTACACATTTAGTAAAGACTAAATGTGTATACATGTAAATAAGCCAACACAGGGACTAAGTACTAAAAGTAGATGGAAAATGTTACATTTTACAATAATTACAAGCAAATTATCATGAATCAAACTTAAAGAAAAATATATTATGGAAATACAGTATATAAAATTGGAAGCTTCCTGAAATTACGAAGAAAAACTTAAGTTATCCTACTTAAAAACTAATTAGCATTGGCCATCTATTACTAAAGAAAAGAAAGGGTTAAAACAGATCCACTAAGAAAACATCACCAAAAGAAGAGCATACATATTTTTAAGGTCTTAACGAATTCACATCAGGGGGACTACTATGTTTAGCATTCCCAATGAGTTTAACAGTCAATTTCCTACAAAGCATTCTAAAGTCAACATGGCTATGAGCTATCACTGCACAGGGACTATGAAGAAACATCATAATGGGCAATAATCTTTAAACAATATTCACAAATTCGACATCAGTGCTAAAAAACAACTGGCAATACTATTTCCATTTCTTTAATTCAAAGCACTTTAAAAGACTGCATAAGAGCAAACAGAAATTTTGGCACAGAGCAGATACGACCCATCTTGATTTTCCCAGAGCCTGGCTCTACTTAGAAAAACAGTTAATGGGCTACGCAGAAGTCTGATTTAATCACACATACATTAAAAATGATAACAACCATGGAGAGATGAAGGTATTATTTCTATTGCCAAGAAAATGAAAAGCACTCATCTGTGAATCCAGATTACACACAGAATAGAGCTCAAATGACATTTAAAAGTTAGAAAATACTACATTTCCTAACAAATTCACAAGGGGAAACTGGTCCTATTTACATTCCATATTGCAGTTAATGACTAGTAGATTAAAGCTGATGTTTGAGAGACTCATGCAAATACACTTACAGTAAATGCATCTCCAATAGCCTACCTTGAAGTACCTCTGATAAGTTATAACGGAAGTCCTTTGCTTTCGCTGCATGCATGTAAAAACATGAGAATTGTTACTCGTGCTTAACGGTACAAATATTTTAAATGTCTTCTTCATGCATTCCCTAGCAATATAGCTTTCACTGTAAGTCAGTGAAAGCAGGAATCTACTGAGGAGTGTAGATTTTTCCCGGGACAGGTGCACACCCTTCACTGGACTATCACTCACAATAGCCAAAAAGCAGCAGCAACCCAAACGCCCACCGGTGATGAATGAATGAGCACACTGAGACATACCCATATAATGGAATATTATTTAACCATAAATTGGAGTGAGCCCTAAATCCTGAAAATATGATCACGGTAAGTACAAAACGCAAAACACAGAAGGTCATTCACTGTGTGATTCTATGTACTATTTGCAATGTTCAAAATAAGCAAAACCACACAAAAAATGTAGACTAGTGTTTGTCAAAAGGAAAGGGGGGGTTAGATATATTGAGGGAGGGAAACAATGGAAACATCCAGAAACTAGATAATCGTGATGGTTGCACAAAGTGACGAATACACTAAAACTCCATGAATTGTGTTTTTAAATATTTACAATATTGAATTGTATACAACTGAATTTTATCTCAAATTTTAAAAAATAAAATTGATAATCATAAGCATAAAAATAAGAAAAACTGCAATTAGTAGAGGAAAATGGGAAAGGGTACAGAAACAGGGTACTAAGAAATAGCAATTCCCTCAGAACAGCTCAGAGACACACCCACCCATGCACACACAGTCATACCCACAGGCCACGTACAAACACCCCATGAGAGACACAGGTGGGCTTGCTTTGAAAATTCTCTCTAAAAAGGGGTTTTGTAAACTGTGGTTATGTTGTACTAGTGGGTCTTTAAACCCAACGGTTCATGAACCAAAATTTTATGTGGTTATGCTGTACTAGTGGGTCTTTAAACCCAACGGTTCATGAACAAAAATTTTTTAAATTCGTAACATAACAAAATTTGATAAAAACACAGAGTACAGCACGTAGGAGAAGGAGTTTGACAAAAATTCTGATAAAACTTCTGTGTGTTGTGCATATAATATAAAGCTGTGGGTTATACATATATTATAAAACCTTTTCTGTTGTTATAGGTCATATTCAAAGTGCAAAAGGCACTCCTTCAAGGTAACCCTGGAAGCACCACATTTTGCTTCTACCTTGCTGAGAACTACTGGTAGGCTATGAAAGTATAGTAACAATATCAAAAAGGTGATAGCAAAACTTGATAGTATTAAGGGATGTCACTTACCCTCTTACCAATTCATGTAAGAAATCATATCGAATTCTTACCTAGAACTTCCTCATAATCAACAAGATCAAACCAGACGACTGCTACTGAGGTCCAGACTCCCAGCAGGGCAACGACCATAAACCAGGTGAAGAAGGAGCTGCCCGAGAGCCCTCCTTTCCTCCCATTCTTGTGTCCGCCGTGCTTTGTCTCTGTTTAGAAATAAATGTCAAATGTCATCAACTAAGAAATGCTGCACTGAACTCCTTCCACACTGAACTGTTTCTCCAATAATTTCACAGATTATTTCAAAAATAGTTTTCATTTAAGTTCTAAAATCATGCAACACAAAGATTTTGAAACCAGAAAAGTTTCTGCTTAGACCCAATGCCATGTTCATAAAACCCCAATTTTGAAGTAATGGAAGAAGCTGGATGTGGTGGTGCACGCCTAAGATCCCAGCACTCAGGAGGCTGAGGCCAGCCTGGGCTACACAGTGAGCTCCAGGCCAGCCTGAACCACACTGCGAGACCGTGTCTTAAAAAAAAGAGTAATGGAAAATGAAGGTTAATGATTTATTAAAAATTATATTTAGTGTAACAAACATTCTTTCCAAGTTCGTTATCAAACCACTTGCATGTAAAGAAAAGCAGGATGGCGTACCATGTCCCTGTCTCTGACAAGATCCACTGGGACCGGGCTAGCAGAAGCAGGAAAAGGTGGCTTCAAGCTGACCTCACTCCAGGAAACGGCTCTGTAAACTGCTGCCCACCTAGTGTCATTCATCACTCCTGATATGTTTAACACATCCTATGTGCTTCTGGAAATGCACTTCAGATGGTCAAAAATAAAAGAATGTCCCCTAACTAGACTGATAGCTACAGAAAAAAGTTAACATTTTTATTTAAAAAATCATCCTCAGGGGCCGGGGATTTAGCTCAGCAGCACTGCGCCTGCCTGGCAAATGCAAGGTTGTGAGTTCAATTCCCGGTACCGGAAGAAAAACAAAAAACAAACAAGCAACAACAGAAAAAAACCATCCTCAAATGTCTCTTAAAAAGGAATGTAATACATATAAGTTAAACATTAATAAATAAGTAAAAAGGTTATATTGTACTTCAAAATGCCAGAGAAAAAGGAAAAGTTTATCAACCAGCTAGAAAAGCAGGGCACTGGCCCTATCCGTGCAGCACGTGCACTCTCTGTGGAGTGCGTTCTGTGCACGGTTGCCCATGCTCCTCACAGTCTCCTGTCCTTCTTTCTGCAGGAGGTATTTCTGGATGTCTAAGCAGGGCAGTGCTCATCCTAACAACTGTTCCTCACACTGGGAGACATCTGACAGCCCTGGGTCCCCCAGGACCCACAGGCAGGCAAGTCCCTGAGCTTATGGCAAAAAAATAACTAACACACACACACACACACACACACACACACACACACACTCTCTTCCACGTATGTCCTACTCGGGGCAGTGTTTGGTTGAAAACCACAGGGTAAGACAGGAATAATCAAATATCTGTTTTAAAGATGATAAAAGGATTTACTCAGTGTCACCAGCGAGTTGGACAGAAGCAGAAATACTCCCTGAACTCTACAATCCTGACGTCCCTTGTACCAAGTGGACCAATGTAATGATTTGACAAAACTCTACCAACTCTAAACCAGAACCTGCCTTTGACTTCGAAGTCCAGTTCTAAATATATTAGTAGTAGCTTCCATTGGCTCCAGTCAAGAATAAACTACTAGTATATTTTTCTGAAATAATAAATGAAATTGTCCTTGTTAAAAGGATATGCACATTTTTAAACCCATCACTAGGTCAACTTTTTGAAAAAGGCCATAAAAACTAAATCTGAGGGCACATGTATGTTTGTATATACTCAAAAATCAACAAACATTTCATTCTTGAAACAGTTCATCAGTTCCTGTTACTAACAGTCTTCAAATATTAATGAGCACATCAAAACGGGCCAAGTTCCCAAATAATCATATGGTGAAAGTACCTTTACCAAATAACATATGGCTGTTGACTTTGTTTCTAACATAATCTGTATAAATGCTAGCTATAGAAAAATATAATTTATACATTAAAATATTTGCTGGAAATAGATCAATTTTTTTCATATTAAATCAACAAAGTGCACATCAGTTTCACTCTCTGAACAGAGACGTGGGAAGGGAAAATTGGGTAAAAATTTCCATAACACTGACAAGAAAAAATGATGATTTCCAATATTTTTATGTATCTCAAGCACATAGATTATAAAAAGAACAATACAAGATTCTTTATCACTAGAATTTTCAAAATTAAAAGAAAAAAATGAGTAGGCATCTGTGGTGATAGGGAGCTCCACAGATTCAGTAGCATTGCTGTATTGAATTTACTAAATTTTTCTGAATATGAAGACATTTTCCTAAGACTATGACTCCCCCAAAACATCTTGTTTCTGTATAACATAGACACACAGATCCCTTTGCACACAATACTAAATATAATTACAACAGGAATGCCTTCTGAATATCCATTACTTCTAAACATGAGGCCGTAATAATTAATGCCTCACAATTTCTTCCCTTGGCTATTTACTGCTTCTGAAAACCAAATTCAAGTTAAAACTGTAGTAAAAAGGGGGGTTCTCATCTCAGGCACTGTGTAAATGACACCAATTATTGTATTATTACTCATTAACTAAAAAACAGGAAGCCTAAATAAAATTCATCCTATTATTTATTGATTTAACATTTTCAGCCTGTTACCCAATTATTAAGCTTTAAAAGATGTACATATGGATAACAGTATATCCAAAATAACACAGTGAATCTAAAATGAAGTAATTAATAAAACAAAATAATATCTTGGATTTGAAGTTCAACTCTCCATTCTTTCTCTATTGGTTCTGTCTGAGACAGGATCTCATTATGCTGCCCAGGCTGGCCTTGGACTGTGGGTTCAAATGATGCTGTTCACGCTTCAGCCTCTCCAGTAGCTAGTACTACAAGCATGCAGCACTGCATCCAGCTTCTCTCTTTTACTTAACATAGAAATGGAGGAAGAAAATTTCTAAGATTCTCAAAAGCAAAACATCACTTACCCAAGTTAATAACATTGAAAGATGCTTAGGAGAGAGAGAGAAAGCCAAATACTCAATAACACAGAAGACACTTTGGGGCCAAACTCACCCAAGTGAGTTAAAGCACAGAAGTGCTAGCAGGAGAAAGGCCTAGACAGGGCACAAAAAGAAATATAAACTATATGTGTAGTGGTTGCAGAGAGGCCATTTATAATTGAGGCCTGCAGACAAGGCCCTAGTAGCCCTTAAAATAATCTTTAGTAGATGATAATCTCTAGAATAATCTTTAGAACAGACATTAAAATATTATTTTAGTATGTTCAGGAATTTAAAACATATAATCAATCTTAGATTTTATTGAAAATAGCTGTATTAAGTATATCTATCACTTTAAAAGATACACAGTACTTACCTCGAATATTAAATTATTAGCAATATTTTATAACCTTATCATGTCATATAAAAGGATGCATTGTCTAGCATTACCAACCATAATACTGTTAATATTGGCTAATCTTAAAAAAATAAAATAAAATAAATGAAAAATAAAAATATTTGCTGATCCTGTAAGTGAACCAGATATTAAATTATAAAAAAGGAGCTTTTTTCAGAAATCCTTTTTAGGGAAACTATTTCATAGAGAGCAAAAATGTTCCTGATACATCCTTCTATAAATATGATGCGCCAGTCCCAAAGGGCAGATCAGTTTCTGCCCAAGTGAACTGAAGAAGGCATAGTCAGACAAACCCTGTACAAGGCTTACACCTCCCTGCACAAACCTGGAACCAGTACTTTGTCATAAAGGTACCCGGAAGAACATCTAACAGCTATCCCTGTTTTCAAAGAGGAACAAAACTAAGGGTGTCTTCATTTCATTTTCTGGCTGCATGTTCAGCCTGTCGCACCCAGGAACTGGTCAAGAAGAATTGTTACTGGAATGAAGGAAACAGGAAGGACTGTGTGATTTCCCCCACGCTGTCACATCGAAAGTACATCACCTTCAAACTGTAGAAAAGTACATCACCTTCTGTAGAGCTACAGAAGAAATTGTCCCCCCATATGGTACTAGCAAACACAGAAACCTACGACAGCAAGCACAGCACTGGGAGTCCAAAAAGAAGCCTCTCCGAGATGAAGACTGAGTTAGGGACAACAGGAAGCTGTCCTTATTTGGTGGAGGAAGGGGAAAACAGAAATTTTCCTGTACCTGCCCTTCTGTCAAGTACATGAAAGGCCTAATATTACCTGAACTACAGATCAATCATTTGGAAAATGTAGTTAGCATTATGGTAAGGGTTTCATATTTACACACAAACTATTTGAAATGTTCTAAAAAACAAAAATTCTCAAATAACTCATTAAGTGTTATTTTTTCATGGTACAAAATGTTACTCCTTGAAAATCTGCAACTATTAAAACTAGAGCATAAGTAAAAGCTGATTTTATGTAAGTATTACAAAATTCAAGGAAAAGGGAGAAATATTGAAGAACTAGAAGTCATATATATGTCTCCGTGTGTGTGTGTGTGTGTGTGTGTGTGTCTGTGGTTTTTGGAGACAAGGTCTCACCATGCAGTTCAGGCCAGCCTTGAACTCACAGTGTAGTCCAGGCTGGCCTGAAACTCACAGCAATCCTGCCTCAGCCTTCTGAGTGCTGGGCTGCCAGGGCATGCACCATCACACTCAGTCACACACATATATGTATGTATCTCACACTTTACTCGATTAGGTGAGCAATCCATTCTAACCAATTATTCAAAACAATCTTCAAAATGGAGACACTTCTGTTCTCATCTCAATAGTTTCGGTTGCTGCTGGGATAGCTGAGAGTTAGAAGCCATCTTTAAATGTCTCTCTTTCCTTACATATTTTCAACATAACAAGCCAATGCAATCTGCTTTAAACTAATAGATAAGCTTTACACAAAGTAAAAGCAGATACGTACAAAAAGCAAATCAGGAACATCATTAAATAAAGTAAAATTTGAGTCTGTTTTAATTATTTTATCTGTTTCACAGCAAGTAGGTCAGTTTCCATATATGGTAAGTCTTTACTTGAACCAATAAATTTCCCCGTTAATATATACATCCCTTAAGTTTCCTATCATTCCATATGCAACCTGAATGCATGTAATTCTTTAAATTCATGGTAACTGACTTATAAGACTAAAAAAGGCTGCTTGTGTATATATTAAAATTGGTAAAATGCAATTTCTGGTAGTAGAGTATATTAAAAGATAATCTAAATTAAGACACACACCAACTTAGATTCATGGCAGGCTGCTCTACAAAAAATTCATCTACTATAAAAATGAATGCCTCTAGGAGTTCAAACAGAAAACGCAAAATACACAATCAAAGTACTTAGCCAAAAATACTCAAACAGAGCACAACTGAAAACAAGGTGAAAATGTGTCAGGTAGGCCCAAAGCCACAGTTAATGCGAAGTACAAAAAGAAAAACGATACCTTTATCTTCAGCCATTTTGGTTCCTTCAATCCATGAACACTAAATACTTTAAAAGAAAAAAAACCCGAAACGCTGGAGGCAGGTATGGGGTGCAGTGCACTCTTCCCCCCAGAGCTCTGCCGGCCAGCTCTGCCCAGCCAAGGGCCACAGAACTGAAACTGGACCTGCCTGCACACTCTGCTCACCAGTTATTTTTAGAGGCCTCCTCCTCATGGCCAAGTGCCGCTAGTCGCTCAGGCTGAAATGCACTCTCCACAAATCTGACAGCCATCCTCCACTTAGGGGTGGATTCCTTTCTCAGTTGGTCCTATCTCCTACTGACTTCAATTCCTAAAAGGTCTAGGCTAGGAAAAATGAAAGAGAATAAACTGTGCTACCAATTTTTTTTTCCCCAAAGAAGCAGGTTTTAATGTCTCAGTCTAAGCACCAAATCATTCAAAACTGAAACTAGTCCTAATGTGGCCCTAAGTCCAGAAAGAACCTGACGTGGCCCTTCAGCATCTTAATCAAATGCCTGCAAGACCATTAGTCTGAATAAAACAACCATAAATGGCAAAAAATTAATTAATGCTGTGGAAATATGATTCACAGCCTTAACAGTGCAGGAACATTTTCTCTAAAGGCAAAAGGAATGCAACGGGGGGAAGTTGTTTCCGTGGGGAGGGGGGCGGGGGGGGGGGGAGGGAAGAGGGAGGAAGGAGAGGAACAGGAGGGGAAGGAGTAATGGGCAAGTTAGAAGAAAGGGAGAAAGAATGATCTTGAGCGGTGAGAGTCGTGACCTAGGAAACCGCGCATGGAGGGAACGAGACACTGTACAACCACATTTCTTATTTTTTTCCTATTATCCCCCAACCATATCTCCAAATGTTCTCCTAAGGGAAATAAAATCAGCCCAATTTTAATACTGCTTTTCTTCCGCTGAGACCTAAGATTAGCAGTTCACAGAATTCATTAGCGCTCTGATTAGTATATTAGATTAATGTAGTGCAAGTAGTATCTAGAACAAGGGAGCAACCTTTCAAAGTTGCTTGCAAATCTTTAATTTTTTTTCCACTTCGATTTAAGGTTCTACAGAAGAATTAAACTTTTAAACGCTCTGGAGCGGAGTCAGTAACCTAAGGTACCAATATGTGGCAGTCTACATTTGGGACGGAGAAAACTAGTCTCCAAGGGCAACTCAACAAACTGACAAGCGTTTCGCTCTGACAGGCCCATTTTCTCAACACCCTTCTTCCCGGCTCTGTCCCACTACAGTTAGTGCTTGCTATACTGTTACAACAATAAAGAGCTGCCTGCACACTAGTTTATGGCAACGCACCATGCCACTACCACACGTATCCGACAAAGAACAGGCAGATACCCTGTTTTATCATTTCCGGAGACAGAGTGAGAGTGACAGGGGACCCTTGGTGAGACCAGTCGAAACCAAGCTGCAACTCTCACCTGACAGGGAGCCCAGTAGGGCGTCAGATTCAGAGATCTGGAATTCTTTCCAGCTTTTCCACGAACTTTGATTTGGAGGAAGTCATGAAAATTTCTGGGTTTCAACTTCCATGCTTATCAAATACCACATAAACTCACCATATGCATGTGCTGTGACCGAGAAATACAACAGATATTTAATTCTGTTTAAATGTATTACAGTTAAAGACACACCTCCTTAAGCCTCCTCAAAATTCTTCCCCTTGCTTTAAACACATCTGCCCTCTAACTTTTGCTACTTTCTGAAGCGGGGCTGGAAGCATTCTCTCATGTCTTTAGTTGTGCTGCTGTGCGGCCTCGATGTCGTGAATCAGTTCAAAACCTTTACACGTCACAGCTACTTTGACTTGGAGGAAAAGCAGAAGTCACATGGTGCAAAACCCCATGAATAAGGTGGAGGCGGCTGCAGCTTCATGTTTTTATGAACCTTTCTTTCCAGTGGACTGTACTAGGCAGCAGCATTCACTACATTTTTGATCAAACCTAAAGACACTCATGAAAGACGACTTCCAGAAATGTTCCAGAAAGTGGCAAGGATAACAGGTAAGGATATTCAAAGTGAGGAGGAGTTTTTTGAAGAGGAATAGTGGAGATGTGTTTCACTCTAGTACTTTTTTAAATTTAAGCATTCATCGTATATTTTGATCAGTCCGTGTGTATGTGAAGTCCCCCAAGTAATAATGTGTACTGATTGACTCACTCTGGACCTGAGTGCAAATCTCCCAGTTCAAATGCATAGCTCTTTTCATAATCCTCTTTTCATGTCCCCCAAACTGTCAGAGCTGCTAGGGTTTCTCTGTCTCCCTCTTTATCGGCCTGGGCAAGTCCAGGTGCATTCTAAATTACAAAGCTGTGCTCAAATGCTGAACTGAAGCAACTCTTGCTGCACTAACTTGCAGTTTCCCTTAGCCAGAGAGCTTCTCCGGACTTCTCTGGTTATTCTTCAGGGACAAATCTTACCCACATTTACACATCCTATAACTAACCCTTTCCTTCTGAAATTTGCGACAGTTGAACAGTGACAAAATGTCTTTCTTCAGTTTCTCAACGATAATGGCCTACCTATATTTTGGGTAGGGTTATCAAGGGAAATCTTTCTGAAAACTTCTTACTCTCTCATTATTTAAGAAAAATTAATTCTGAATTCCAAGCAACTACCTCTTATGGTAAGAATTCACTTTTGTAATTAATGGGTAATACTTACAAAAAATTTTTAAAACAAATTTAATTTTTGTATAGTAAGATGTTTTGAAAAACACTAGCAAAGACAACTAATCTTGCAAAGTCAACTAAAATCAATCCTGACTATTCCTATTCCTACTAGTAGCTTCTGGAACTAAAAGCAATTTCTTGGTCCAGGCAAAGACCAAACCTGTAACACGTGTGCTCTGCGACTATTAATATCAGCCGATGTAACTTGAGATCACAGGAGCCAAGGCCTATGCCCACAGAGCCAACCTCCCAGGTGGGATCCGCCAGCCCCGCCGTGCGTCAGCGCTAAATACATCCTTCCCTGCACCCTCGCCAGTTACTGTTTACGAAAGTGGCCCCGACACATCAAAATCACTAGAGGCTTTGTCAAAACAGGGTGTTGCTCCTTTTTTCCAGATTTCTGATTCTATAGGTCTGGAGTGGGAAGAAAGAAGTTGCTTGTCTAAGTCCTAAGTGACCTGATGCTACTGACCTCTCTCTTGGAATAAGGAATACTGCACTATTTTTCCTTTTACCTTGCAAAGGTAAGAGAGCTTGAATGTAGAATAGTGATTAGAAAAGGTTGGGAAAGGGGCAGTGGGTAAGGGGAGAGTGCACGCTGCGGTGTGTATGCACTGAAAAACCACACTGAACTTGATTAATACGGACAATTAATACGTGTAAATAAATAGAATAGCTACGTAAGTCCTCCCTAATTAAGAGGCTCCAGGAGGAGAAAAGCACCTCTTGCTCTGATCAACTCCCAGACAATTTCTCACCCCCTAAAACAGAAAACAAACAAAGCCATATCCTTGAGGCCAACGCCATCCAATTACACCACCCTGCACTGCTATCAACCGCCTCCTGTGCCTCCTCCACACACTCAGTGACATCTTCTACACCTCAGTTCTAGCCATAACCCCATCAGGATGGCTTCTCTCTCCTTTACTCCTTCATCCTCAGAGCCCATGTTCTCCTCCATTCTATACCCCACACTCATTCTTAAGATTCTTACTATGGGTCTTATCTTAAACCCAACTTAATTCAACTTCCTAATCACATCTTCATTTTTAGTGAAATATTTTGGTAGTTCTACCAGCACAACCTCCTAGGCAGATGTTGAAAAGCTGCTAAAATGTCTCCATCATAACAACTGCAGGATATTGTAAAATACTAAAACAAAAATATTTTTCAAAGCTGGGCGTGGTGGCACACACCTGTAATCCCAGCACCCGGGAGGCTGAGGCAGGAGGATCATTGTGAGTTTAAGGCCAGCCTGCGCTACAAAGTGAGCTTGAGGCCAGCCTGAACTGCATAGTGAGACGCTGTCTCAAAAAGACCAAAAAACAAAAGGGGGGGGGCGGCCTGGGGATTTAGCTCAGTGGCACAGTGCCTGCCTGGCAAGCGCAAGGTCGTGAGTTCGATTCCTGGTACCGGGGAAAAAAAAAAAAAAAAGCTGCTGTACTTCCTTCACAGAAAAAACAGAACCACCTGCAGGAAACTGTCTCAGCTGCCTGCCATCAGCAGTGCACACCTGCGCTTAGCAGCACACATTCCCTGCTTTCCTCCCAACTCTGCAGCCACTGTCCTCCCGGACTCCTGCACACTCGGCTTTCCCTTCCTCTCCTGTGCCACTAGCCACACTGCCTTCTCTCGCCGGCCGTGCGCCTCTCCTTTCCCTCACAGGTACAGATCTCAACAGAGCTGCTGTTTCACTGCTTCCACTTTCCAGCCGCTCATCGGTACAACCTATGGGCTGCTATCTGCTTCTGCACAAGACCTCCAGACAGCAGCACTCTAAGGTCACATGAGTGATTTCTATGTCATTAAACTCAACAGAAAATCTTGTCTTCATCTTACCTAACCTCCTAGCTGGATCCACCTTGTTTCACAAACATTCTCTTCCTCTAAATATTGTGGTGTCATAATTTTCTGGTATTTCTATCACCTCTCTGGACCCTAATTTTCAGCCTCTTTTGCTAGATCATTCTCCCCTAGTTGACCCTGAAGCATAACCTTTGTCCTATGCCACTTTCCTAGGTAACTTTGTCTTCTATCTGTAGGGCTAATAATATTTATTTTCCTTCTTTTGAGCTTCAAAATCATATATTTATCTCTTTGTCTTAGTTACTTTTCTCTCATTGCTGAGACAAAATACTCCAAGGAAAGGTTTATTCAGCTCACAGTTTGTGGAGGTTTCAGTCCATGATTAGCTGGCTCCAAGGCAGGGTGGCGGGGCACAGGGACAGTTCATGGCGGCGGAAGGCAGCAAGAAAGGGAGGAGTGTGAGAGCAGACTCTGCCGGTCCCTTATGTTGTACCAGGCTGCCCACCCCTAGGGTGGGGCGTAGCACTTATACCCATAATGCTAGCACTAGACAATGAATCAGTCTCAAACTCTGCTCTGAAAAGCACCCCCCATGACTGCATGAGGCTTTGGGGGGACGTCCAGACACAAACCATAACACTCCTTAGTATCTCAAAAGCACTTCCACGAAG